ATTGCTCAGATTTTGTCATTGAATATTTTCCAGATCTTTTCTGCACATCCTGCACTGATGTCAGCAATTCAGTGCGTGTGTGGTACCTTCGCTCTGTTAGGTTGTGTGTGTGTCTGTGTGTGTGTCTGTGTGTGTGTGTGACTGTGTGGTACCTTCGCTCTGTTGGGTTGTGTGTGTGGTACCTTTGCTCTGTTAGGCTGTGTGTGTGTGTGTTACCTTTGCTCTGTTAGGTGTGTGTACTGTATTTGTGTGTGTGTGTGTTTGTGTGTGTGTGGTTCCTTCACTCTGTTAGGTTGTGTGTGTGTGTGTGTATGGTACCTTCACTCTGTTAAGTTGGGTGTGTGTGTGTGTGGTTGTGTGTGTGTGTGTTACTTTCGCTCTGTTAGGCTGTGTGTGTGTGTGCGGTACCTTCACTCTGTTAGGCTGTGTGTGTGTGTGTGTGCGTGCGGTACCTTCACTCTGTTAGGCTGTGTGTGTGTGTGGTACCTTCTCTCTGTTAGGCTGTGTGTGTATGTGTGTGTGTGTGTGTGTGTGTGTGTGGTACTTTCGCTCTGTTAGGCTGTGTGTGTGTGTGTGTGTGTGGTACCTTCGCTCTGTTAGGCTGTGTGTGTGTGTGGTACCTTCTCTCTGTTAGGCTGTGTGTGTGTGTGTGTGTGTGTGTGTGTGTGTGTGTGTGTGTGCGGTACCTTCGCTCTGTTAGGCTGTGTGTGTGTGTGTGTGTGTGTGTGTGTGTGTGTGCGGTACCTTCTCTCTGTTAGGCTGTGTGTGTGTGTGGTACCTTCTCTCTGTTAGGCTGTGTGTGTGTGTGTGTGTGTGTGGTATCTTCGCTCTGTTAGGCTGTGTGTGTGTGTGTGTGTGTGTGTGTGTGCGGTACCTTCGCTCTGTTAGGTTGGGTGCTGAGCTGCTGCTGCTGCTGTAGATCTGCTGCTTCTCTCAGGTACCACCACTGGATCTCCAGCGAGAGCGGAGCAGCTCCAGAAGCTCTGAACGCACACGGCATCTCCACATCCTCCCCCTCACACACACTCGAGTCCACCGGCACCTCCGTAAACGCCGCTGAAGAGCGCACACACACACACACACACACACACACCACACACCCCTCTATAAATACCTCTGGAAAACACACACACACAAAGCTGAAGAGCACACACACTCACATCACTGTAGACACACACATAGCTAAATAAAACACACAGTGCTTAGTAACACACAGACACAGCTAATGGAACACACAAACACATACAGCTGAGTAAAACACAATGTTTAGTAATACGCACACAGCACTGAGCAAAACACACACACGCACACACACACACGCACACACACACACGCACGCACACACACACACACACACACACGCACACACACGCACACACACGCACACACGCACACACACACACACACACACACACCGCACACACACACACACACGCACACACACACACACACACACACATACACACACTGGGTGCATTATGAAGGTTTGAGATTCAAAGAATTTTATATTTCACAAAAACACAAACAAACAGCTTATTTTTTAAATGTTTGTATTATAGTAGCTGCTGCCCATCTGGCCCCTGTATTTGCTCCTCTTTATTTACCCCTATGTGGTTCCCCTGTATTTACCCCTGTTTCTGCCCTGCATTTACTCTCCTGTGAGGGACAGATTACTGACCGTTAGTCCAGGACAGCAGGAGGTGCAGCAGCAGGCCGTGCAGCGCGAGCGCCTCCATCTCAGCGCTCACACACACTCACATGCGTGGTCCTTCATCACCATCATCCTCCTCCTCACTGATGGAGCTCCAGATCCTCAGTCACAGACCTCCTCCTCACTGACAGAGCTCCAGATCCTCAGTCAAAGGTCCTCAATCACAGACCTCCTCCTCACTGACGGAGCTCCAGATCCCCAATCACAGACCTCCTCCTCACTGATCGAGTTCCAGATCCTCAATCAAAGACCTCCTCCTCACTGATGGAGCTCCAGATCCTTGACCACAAAACTCCTCCTCACTGATGGAGCTCCAGATTCTCATTCATAGACCTCCTCCTCACTGATGGAGCTCCAGATCCTCAACCACAGACCTCCTTCTCACTGATGGAGCTCCAGAGCCTCAGTCAAAGGTCCTCAATCACAGACCTCCTCCTCACTTACGGAGCTCCAGATCCTCAATCACAGACCTCCTTCTCACAGAGAGAGCTCCGGGTCCTGACTGAAAGAACTCCGGATCCACGGTAACAGATGTCCTCCTCCTCCTCCTCAGTGACGGCGCGCCGGATCCGCAGCAGCTCTCATGCTGGGCTGCAGGGAGGAAGCTTTAAATCCCCGGATGAAACTCCGCATTCTGAATGCGCGGTGTCCACCACTCTGCCCCACACACTTCACACACTAAACAACAACCTTCAATAGACAATCTAAAGTAAACAACCTCACCCTAAAACAAACAACATCAAATAAAAAAACTTAAATCTGAAAAATCCCGAAAGCAGCACATCCACATCCGTACAGAGACAGAGAGAGACTGAGCGAGAGAGGAGCTGTGAGTGTGTGTGTGTGTATTTGTGAGGAGGAGCTTTGACAAGCGTGTGAGAGAGAGAGAGAGAGAGAGAGAGAGAGAGAGAGAGAGAGAGAGAGAGAGAGAGAGAGCTGTGACGTGAACAACAGCGCGGGAAACCGGCAGGAGGAAGTGCGTGACACACAGACTCAGATGATGCAGATCACAGATGCCCCTTATACAGGGTGGGGGTTGGGGGGCTGGGGGTCCGGTGGTAAAAGTGCTTTTATCAGTGTGTGTGTGTGTGTGTGTGTGTGTGTGTGTGTGTGTGTTAAAATGTACAAGTGAGGATTTTTCTCTGAATATCGTTACACGAGAAGGACAGCTGGAACAGCCTCAGAGTGTTACAACACAAAGCACCCAAGTGTTATTGTGAGCAATGTTAATAATGTAATATAAATTATATCAGTAATGCTAATAGTGAGTGATGTAAATGTTGTGAATATTGTGAGAAATGTAAATATTGATTACTCTGAGAATTGTGAGAAATGTGAGCCTTGTGAATTACGTGGGTATTGTATTTGTTAGGGGTGTTTAATGTAAGTGATGTTAGTGATGTGAGTATTTTAGAATAAATCTGAGTATTGCGAATGAGTATTGTGAGAAATGTGAGTAAATACTGTGAGAAATGCATTGTGAGTGATGTGAGTATTGAGAGTGATTTGAATACTAGGAAAAATGTGAGTATTGTGAGTGATGTGAGTATTGTAAGTATTGCGAGTGATGTGAGTATTGTGAGTGATGTGAGTATTGTAAGTATTGCGAGTGATGTGAGTATTGTGAGTGATGTGAGTATTGTAAGTATTGCGAGTGATGTGAGTATTGTGAGTGATGTGAGTATTGTAAGTATTGCGAGTGATGTGAGTATTGTAAGCAGATGCGAGTATTGTGAGTGATGTATTGTGAGCTGATGTGAGTATTGTAGTGATGTGAGTATTGTAAGTGATGTGAGTATTGTGAGTGATGTGAGTATTGTAAGTATTGTGAGTGATGTGAGTATTGTAAGCAGATCCGAGTATTGTGAGTGATGTATTGTGAGCTGATGTGAGTATTGTAGTGATGCGATGAGAGGGTGTGGAATGGTTCTAGGCTAAAACCTAAACCTTCACTGATCTTTTCAAGAAGTTTCTCTTTGCAATACAGTGAGAGCATTGTGAGTGATGTGGATCCTGTGAGAAATGCAAGCAATGTGTTTGTTTCCTTTATATTTTGTGTATATAAGTATTGTGAAAATTTGATTATTGTGAATATTATTAGTAATGTTATGTGGTTAATATAAGTGATAACTAATTAATTGTCAGCATTGAGTGGGGGAGTGTGACTAATATGAGTACTGTGAGTAATGTGAATATTGTGAGTGATTCTTTTTTGAGAAATGTGTGCATTGTGAGTATGTATGTGAGAATAGTTCAGAACTCCTCAGCAGGTCCATCAGACATCCATCAGACGTCCATCAGACACAATTAGAAAACACAGAGTGTTAGTGACAGTCCTGATTAGTCCACAGGTTCAGATTTTGATAATTGGGTAGAGATTCAGCAGGACAGAGCCAATCAGAATGAAGTGCCATGGAGGGTGAAGGGTTCTGGGAGTACACCATTACCCTACACTGATGTTTTGCAGCAGTGTCACTATGCAATACAGCAAAGCACTGTATTTTTTATGATGAAAATAATGAGGGATATGTCAGGATTTGAGTGATGTGAGTATTGTGGGTGATTTAGGTATTGTGGTTGATGTGAGTAATGTGAGTACTGAAAGTAATGTGAGTACTGTGAGTATTGTGAGTGATTTGAGTATTGTGAGTATTGTAAGTGATGTGAGTACTGTGAGAAATGTAAGCATTATGTGTGTTTTGTATTTTGTGTATATAAATGAGTATTGTGAAAATGTGATTATTGTGAATGTTTTGTTGCAGGCTTTATAAGCAATAACTTATTTATTGTTTGTATCATGTGGGGGTAGTGTAACTAAGATGAGTATTGTGAGTAATGCAAATATTGTGACTGATGTATTTTGAGAAATTTGAGTATTGTGAAATTGTGAATATTAAGAGTGATTTGTGTATTGTGAGCGTTGTAATATGAATATTTTGAGTGATTTAAGGACTGTGAGTACTGTGAGAAAGGTAAGTGATTGAGCATAGTGAGTGGTGTGAGGACTGTGATTAATGTGGACAGTATTGTAAGTGATGTGATATTGTGAGTGATGTAAATATTGTAAGTGTTGTGAGTGATGTGAGTATTGTGAGTGATGTGAGTATTATGAGTGATGTAAGTGTTGTGAGTGATGTGAGTATTGTGAGTGATGTGAGTATTATGAGTGATGTAAGTGTTGTGAGTGATGTGAGTATTATGAGTGATGTGAGTATTATGAGTGATGTGAGTATTGCTAGTGATGAGTATTGTGAATGGTGTGAGTATTGTGAGTGATGTGAGTATTGTGAGTGATGTGAGTGTTATGAGTGATGTAAGTGTTGTGAGTGATGTGAGTATTGTGAGCTGATGTGAGTGATGTAAATATTATAAGTGACGTGAGTATTGTGAGTGATGTGAGTATTGTGAGTGATGTGAGTATTATGAGTGGTGTAAGTGTTGTGAGTGATGTGAGTATTGTGAGTGATGTGAGTATTATGAGTGATGTAAGTGTTATGAGTGATGTGAGTATTGTGAGCTGATGTGAGTGATGTAAATATTATAAGTGTTGTGAGTATTGTGGGTGATGTGAGTATTGTGAGTGATGTGAGTATTGTAAGTGATGTAAGTATTGTGAGTGATGTAAGTATTGTAAGTGTTGTGAGTATTGTAAGTGTTGTGAGTATTGTGAGTGATGTAAGTATTGTAAGTGTTGCGAGTATTGTGAATGGTGTGAGTATTGTGAGTGATGTGAGTATTGTAAGTGTGAGTATTGTGAATGGTGTGAGTATTGTGAGTGATGTGAGTATTGTAAGTGTTGTGAGTATTGTGAATGGTGTGAGTATTGTGAGTGATGTGAGTATTGTGAGTGATGTGAGTATTATGAGTGATGTAAGTGTTGTGAGTGATGTGAGTATTGTGAGTGATGTGAGTATTATGAGTGATGTAAGTGTTGTGAGTGATGTGAGTATTGTGAGCTGATGTGAGTATTGTAAGTGTTGTGAGTATTGTGAATGGTGTGAGTATTGTGAGTGATGTGAGTATTGTGAGTGATGTGAGTATTATGAGTGATGTAAGTGTTGTGAGTGATGTGAGTATTGTGAGTGATGTGAGTATTGTGAGTGATGTGAGTATTATGAGTGATGTAAGTGTTGTGAGTGATGTGAGTATTGTGAGCTGATGTGAGTATTATGAGTGATGTAAGTGTTGTGAGTGATGTGAGTATTGTAAGTGTTGTGAATATTGTGAATGGTGTGAGTATTGTGAGTGATGTGAGTATTGTAAGTGTGAGTATTGTGAATGGTGTGAGTATTGTGAGTGATGTGAGTATTGTAAGTGTTGTGAGTATTGTGAATGGTGTGAGTATTGTGAGTGATGTGAGTATTGTAAGTGTTGTGAGTATTGTGAATGGTGTGAGTATTGTGAGTGATGTGAGTATTGTAAGTGTTGTGAGTATTGCGAGTGATGTGAGTATTGTGAGTGATGTGTGTATTGTAAGTGTTGTGAGTATTGCTAGTGATGTGAGTATTGTGAGTGATGTGAGTATTGTAAGTGATGTGAGTATTGTGAGTGATGTGAGTATTGTAAGTATTGCGAGTGATGTGAGTATTGTGAGTGATGTGAGTATTGTAAGTATTGCGAGTGATGTGAGTATTGTGAGTGATGTGAGTATTGTAAGTATTGCGAGTGATGTGAGTATTGTGAGTGATGTGAGTATTGTAAGTATTGCGAGTGATGTGAGTATTGTGAGTGATGTGAGTATTGTAAGTATTGCGAGTGATGTGAGTATTGTAAGCAGATGCGAGTATTGTGAGTGATGTATTGTGAGCTGATGTGAGTATTGTAGTGATGTGAGTATTGTAAGTGATGTGAGTATTGTGAGTGATGTGAGTATTGTAAGTATTGCGAGTGATGTGAGTATTGTAAGCAGATCCGAGTATTGTGAGTGATGTATTGTGAGCTGATCTGAGTATTGTAGTGATGCGAGGAGAGGGTGTGGAATGGTTCTAGGCTAAAACCTAAACCTTCACTGATCTTTTCAAGAAGTTTCTCTTTGCAATACAGTGAGAGCATTGTGAGTGATGTGGATCCTGTGAGAAATGCAAGCAATGTGTTTGTTTCCTTTATATTTTGTGTATATAAGTATTGTGAAAATTTGATTATTGTGAATATTATTAGTAATGTTATGTGGTTAATATAAGTGATAACTAATTAATTGTCAGCATTGAGTGGGGGAGTGTGACTAATATGAGTACTGTGAGTAATGTGAATATTGTGAGTGATTCTTTTTGAGAAATGTGTGCATTGTGAGTATGTATGTGAGAATAGTTCAGAACTCCTCAGCAGGTCCATCAGACATCCATCAGACGTCCATCAGACACAATTAGAAAACACAGAGTGTTAGTGACAGTCCTGATTAGTCCACAGGTTCAGATTTTGATAATTGGGTAGAGATTCAGCAGGACAGAGCCAATCAGAATGAAGTGCCATGGAGGGTGAAGGGTTCTGGGAGTACACCATTACCCTACACTGATGTTTTGCAGCAGTGTCACTATGCAATACAGCAAAGCACTGTATTTTTTATGATGAAAATAATGAGGGATATGTCAGGATTACATTGGTAAGACATAATTATGCAAGTGCATTATTTATTTCAATAGACTGCACTGCTTTGATTGGGCTTTGATCCTAATCCTCCTTTTCCAGAAGAAAACATATGTTTCTCACAGTGGTCGATGTACCAAAGGAACTGGAAACAGATTTGGTGTCATTAAAAAGATTTTCGGAGGCTGTGACTTTCACCAGAAAGC